CATGGAGGAGGGCACTTGTGGGGATGAGCACTGGGTGTTATGTGGAAACTGATTTGACAATAAAGTATTTGTAAAAAAAATTTTTTTTTTTTAATTTTAAGTGTTTATTTGATAGAAAAGGGAGAGGTGAGCAGGGGAGGAGCAGAGAAAGGGGGAGAGAGAGAGAGACTCCAAAGCAGACTCTGTGTCATCAGCACAGAGCTGGAAATGGGGCTCAAGCTCAGAGCCAAAACCAAGAGTCTGACAGTGAACCAATTTTAACCGACAGAGCCACCCAGGTGCCTCTGATTGCCTGATTTTATAGTGAAAACTGCTGGTCCATTTTCATGCTCTCAGTCCCCCTTTCTTGCTCTTCTTTTTTTTCCATAACACTGTAACCTTCTAACATACTGGAAAATGTACTTATTTGTTATGTTTCCTATCTATTGCCTGTCTCTCCCCACTGGCATGTAAGGTCCACAGATTCAGGGAACTTGGTCTGTCTTGTTCACTGTTGTACCCCCAAGCACCTGAAAGCCAATGCAACACACAGAAGGTACTACATAAACACTTACAGAATGTTTGTTGAATAAAGTTATTGCTTGATTTCACTTTCTCCCACCTGACTGGCTCATCTCTAGTAAAAATGAAAATCACCAAGTCCTTATGCTGGATATTTTCTATTTGCCTGTCCAGACCCATCCTCCAATCTCCTGCCTTCCCTATGCCAGGATGGCTGACTGTAGACTGAATCAGGGGGCTCCCCTGCCCTCTGGCTTCTGGCCCACGTAAGAAGAGAAAGATGTCAGGATTTCTATTACCCTGACTACCTCCCTGGCAAGCTGCAGCACTGGATAGCCCTCTCCATAAAACCTTCTCCTAGGTCCTGGCAGCCCCCTCCCCTCATTCTTCAGGCCCAAGGCTGGTGGTAACAGTTCTTCTCTGTTACTAACTCCAGGGAAATTCAATACTCGTGTTGCTTTCCCTTAACCCTAACCTCTCCTTTAAAGAGAGTCCCTTTGGTAAACTCTCTTCAATTACCCAATATCAGAGCACCATCGATATCCTTTGGAGCCTTCTCTAAATAAAGTCGTAACAACAAAATAATCCATGAAGGTGAATATAGTCCATTTGCTTTCTGTAGTTTTAAGTACCTGAAAGTCCCTCCAAGTATACAGGTCTCTATGATAAACCATAACGTACTTGCCTAATTCACTGACTTTGGAAATTTTTCTAACCACTCTTTCATGGCTCTCTGTTTGGCTTTTCAACCCATTACATATTTGAACTTGGCTCTCGTTGGAGATGAACTCTCTGTATTTGTTTATCTTGGCTCTGGGAACTATGTATATTTGGCTTTTGGTTTGCTTTCTTTCTGGATTAGCAAGCTGACATGGCATCAAGCCATAAACTGAACATAAAATGCTTGGCCCAGGCTACCCCCTGACCAGGTACAGAGTTAGTGCATATACCTAGCTAGCTTATAGTAAGGGTGTCTTCATTCCACATACTTTCCAACTCCCCAATTCAGCAAACATGCATCCCTTCTTTCCTGTGTATCAGACACTGATGATATAAAAATGAAAAAAGCAAGGCCCTTACAATATAAAGAGAGAAGAAATACACATGTTGTCTTTTGCAAATGAGATACATACCATTCCTAGTAGAGAAACTTGTATATTAAGGCATCTGGCAGCTCTTCGATATTAAAGGTTATTTTGATGGTCTTTAAAAGAGATTATCTTGCTTGCCTTTAGTAGCCAACCTTTCTCTAGCATACGTAAGGGGGAGAGATTTGACCTTCCTCCTACAGCACAACCAACTTGGGTTTCAAACATTTCAGAGGTTAAAAAAAGTCTAAAACAAAGAATTCAATAAACAGATACATTCATGTTTCACGGAAGACATAAATGTTCCACAAAAATTTTTCATTTCCTGAATCTGAAATTTCACTTTCTGAATTTTAATTTTCTGAAATCTCATTAATTGGAAATTCTTGTCAAAACAAAATAAAAATGAATTTGCAACCATTTACCAACCTGTATTTCTCTTGTTTGCTCTCACTTTAGTCATACTTAAATATCAATTACCATTTTTGCTCTGATAATATCAAGAATATCTAAAGAGAAGACAATGCTATATTTGGACAGAACATTAATTTATGACAGTTATATGGAACAAGTGAACACTCCCTTCCATGAGCTAAGCAGCGAAGTTCAAGTACACATCCCAGGAAGTGGTTAGCCCTTCCCAGACAAAATAATCAAATCTTAGAGTAATGCTTATAATCCGACAAGAGGGCACGTTCTCTCTCCATTGAGCCCTTCAGTGCTGCAGCTGCCTCAAGAAATAATAAAGAGACACCAGAGAAGGAGCCACCTGCCTTTACTTTCTGGTTCAAAATCACTGGTACAGAACCAGAAATTTTATTTAGAGTGAAATTCTGCTCATTGGGCCCTCACAGAGTTCCTGTACCTGACTACTATAATACCACATATAAGCAACAGTATCGTAACCACAAGCACAGGTATGTATATATTTTCAGTTAGTACTTCCTAGGCTTCTGCATGTAAGCTGGTCTGTCCTTAAAACTGTCTAAATTCCCAACTGCAAGAACTATAATCTAAAATAATCTTGTCATGGGGCACCTCGGTGGCTCAGTCAGTTAAGCATCCAACTCTTGATTTTGGCTCAGGTCACCATCTCACAAGCCTGCTTGGAATTCTCTCTTTCTCTGATCCCCTCCCCCAGTCATACTCATTCACAAACCCTCCCTCTCCCTCTCTTTCTGTCTCTCAAAATAAATAAACTTTTAAAAAATAATAAAATAAAATACTCCTGTCATGAGTAAATGAGTGTGATTAATATAACACACCTATTCTTCTTCCCTTACTTACCAATCAATTGGTTGATATCTGTTTTATTGTAAAACTTTTGGTTCATATGTCTTGTAATGCATATGTCCAAGTCTTTTCAAATTTATGACTTAAATTTCATAAAAATTAATGAAAAGCATGTTTTCAAATTTTCCTACCTTTCTAATCAATCCATATCAAAGTACTGATTGACCTAAGTGATCCTAAGGGGGAAAGTTTATCTCATCAAGACTAACAGTTAATGCTCCATACCAAGGGAAGTAGGTGGGATGTCATGGCAACAGGCCCCTTTCATAACTAAAAACAAAACAAAAACAATCAGGAGTCCTGAGCTTTGGACAGACTTCCAATTAGGGCAGATTCTTCCACAAAAAGCCTTTTTCTAAATGTGAGAGAAGTATTCTAAGTTCTCTCCATTTACTCAACATTTCAAACCATCTTTGGTTCTCCAACAGAGCAATGCTAAGTTTTCCTTATGACTCTAATGGCCAAAACAAAGCCCTTGCCGCCTTGGTCCTCTAGGATTTAAACCCATCTAATTAACTGAGAGAATCAATGGCCACTGAGCATATGCAAAGTGCCTTCTTTGTGTTCAAGATTTGTGTTGTTATCAGTTCTTACTCTGCATTAAGAATTCACATTGATTTACACCATCTCTTGAAAGCACTGAGCTAGCTATTTGGAACACCCAGAAAAGTACGGATAGTCAAAAGTATTTTTAATAAATACAAAGTAAGCTCACATGGCATGGGAGGAGTTTAAGAAATATCAAGTGATCATGAACAAGTCACTTCTCTCTTTACAAATGAGCTTCCTGTTAAATGAAGGAACTAGAACAGATGATCTTAACAATCCCATCCAGTTCCAGCACTCAGCAACTCTGCGCCTCAGGCTCAGCATAGTGGGGATGAGAAAAGTACTATATATGGTGGATGAATACAATTCAGTATACAAAGAAATACTACAAGTATTCCAAAGGAATCCAAAGAGGGACAAAATCAGTGAAGGCTAGAGAAATTCTTTAACTGGATAAGGTGTTTGAGGATGTATAACCTGAGTTGGATCCTGAAAAATGGGAAAGGTGTGGATATGCAGAGAAGAGGTGGGAGAACTGTCCAGATGAAAGCAAGAGCATAAATAAACTCAGCAAAGAAAACAGGAGCACAAATGTAGGATCGGTTTCACGTCCTAAACAATTGGTACAATTTATGGTACTAGGCTAAACTGCCAAAAATTTAGTTAATTTTTTAATTTTTTCTTCAAAGTCTTTCATTGTTAAAAGAAAACTGATAACTTATTCTTATATAAAAATACCTTTTTCTTCATAACATATCTTAATGTGCATGCCATTATTAAAATGTGATGCCTTATTGTTGACCATTTTGATTAAGATCCTACTGTCTTAAGTGGTAACTGCATATCCTCCACCTTCTACCAAAAACAGCTACATTTTTGATGATTAAAGATATCTTTATATATCATCTAGAATATGGTATAACCAAAGGAAAGACTTGAAACATATTTCAAACTGCTTGAAATCTTCCTCCATACATAATGATCTATAATAACATAATATAGTCATCTCTGAATTATAAAATGAAAAATCCAATTTGAAAATATGTATTTTAACTTTAATTATAAATTTGAAATTTAGAAAAATAAAAGCACATCAGATTAAGAGATACACTTATGCCAAGTCTACTTTACTTACGATTATGAAGGACGGTACCAAAAATATTTGAAGACATGTAACCTCTAACTCTTCAGCTTGTTAAAGACTATCTTTTGATACTTGACCATACTGCTCATAAAATGAGGAAAATTTTCATTTCACTCATAAACTTTGTATAAATATCAGAGAATTGCCATTTCTTTCAAGCCAATTGTTTTTTTTTTTTTTTTAATGTTTTTATTTATTTCTAGGAGAGAGAGAGAGAGCACGCAGGGGCAGGGGAGGGTCAGAGACAGAGGGAGACACAGACTCTGAAACAGGCTCCAGGCTCTGAGCTGGCAGTCAGCACAGAGCCCGATGCGGGCCTCGAACCCAAGAACCGCGAGATCATGACCTAAGCGAAAGTCGGACGCTTAACCGACTAAGCCACCCAGGCGCCCCTCAAGCCAATTGTTTTAAAACCGCACACTTACCCTGCATTGTTGCTGACTGCAGTCAGCCCTTTTACTCCAGTCTTTAGTAAAGCTCCTATAAGGTTCTCTGGAATTCCACATAACCCAAAACCTATAGTAAGTGAAAAAGGCAAATGATTTGTGAAGAGGGGAATGTTCTTTCAGGGAAATCTTTATGTTATTCTTTTCCTTTAAAAAGAAAAAAAAATGCAAAGAACATTATTAGCCCTAGTAAGTGAAATATAGATATATCTCAGCAACTCAGTAAATGGCTACATAGCTGTATCCAAATGTTTTGGACCTTTGTATGGCACCAGACATCACTGTCAAATCTTTGAACCTTAAGAATAAAGACAAGTGCAACCAGTTAATATGGTTACACAATGGTTACACGTTGCGTATTTTACACTCTACTGCATATCTAGAGTTTATAATTCAACTTTTATGGAGTTACTTTTTCAAGCATGTTTGTTTTATATGCCTCAGTAGATTTTTGCAGAATCAGAAACCTAGACCATTGACTTCTACTTCTTTATATCTTCCAGAATTTGTCAAATAGTATTAGGTTTAAAATGGACAGTCAATGACTGATCAGCTGAATGGATGAATGAATGCAGAGCAGCCCTAAAAACAAGGCTAGCCTGCAACCAAGAGCTAGAAAAAAAAAAAAAAATTGCAAGAATCAGGCAGCCAGTTTAATGAGTGTGAGACTGTGGCTGTAAAAGACATTCCAAGCAAGGTGAAGCAACAGAACTCAGAGTCTCAATAACAGATAGATGCGTTTGTGCTTTCTATCTCCTAAAATGAGGAATAACCAAATGAGTGGCTAGCAAAGGGATGACGAGATCAATGCAGATGTTTTAAGTTAAACAGAATTCCCAAGGACCTAGGAATGCTTTCAAAGCTACTAATAAGACATCCATTTTAAGATTCAGCTTTTCAAAATAATAGAAAAAGAAACACAAAAAGAAATAAAAAATAAAATATTAAGTACTAAAACTTGCTAAACTTTCAATATTAGGACACTAATAATTACATAATAAAATAACATACTATGCAATAAATATAATAAATTAATAATAAAATAACTGGCATTTTTAATCTACATAGCTTTGCCACTGTGATTTCCTTGCTTTGCTAAAAACATAAGGATGTGATCATCACAAAAAGGAAAACGATACTATTACTCACCACCAACCAGTATTGTTGCGCCATCAGGGATGTCTTTTACAGCTTCTACCGGATCTGTATAAAATTTGGTATGGCGATGTGTGCTGGTTGAAAAGTAGCCGACACATCCCTAAAACATTTTAAAAAACTTTAAATGAATAATCATTTGGAGACACACCTTTGCATGTACATTCACTTTTTATATATATGAGGATAATTTCTCACTATCTACTCTTTGAAAGAAAGAATTGGGCTGCGAATAATTCAATGTAAGAGTAGAAAGGGCATACTCTATCCACAGATTATCGATGGACTTCCCCTGTGATCATGAGGGATGCATTCCATTGTATAAAGGAAAATTGTCATTTGTGGCCACCCAAGAGAGTGCAAGTTGATACCTCACACACTGGGACTCAGATTCACAGTAATGATGTCATCAGGCATCGGTTTCTGACAGTGGGCTAGCCTTCCATTCAGTCAACAAATATTCATTGAGAGCTTACTATGTACCAACTACTGTGCTGTTTACCTCCATTTAGTAAATGCTAAGACATAACTGCTGCCCTGGAGGAGATTAGTTACCGCATCACCCATTTACAAATACATAGCTGGGCCTTAACCCAGCCTTACATCAGTGAATGCCTCCTAAGGTGACAAGTAATGAGGAGTACACACAAAGATCCATCCCTCTAGCGGCTTGCAGTTCATAGATGCCGCAGAAAGGTAACAGACTATAGGGGCCTCTGCGTGGCTCAGTTGGTTAAGTGGCCGACTTCGGCTCAGGTCATGATCTTGCTGTTCATGAGTTCAAGCCCTGTGTCGGGCTCTGTGCTGACAGTTCAGAGCCTGGAGCCTGCTTTGGATTCTGTGTCTCCCTTGCTCTCTGCCTCTTCCCTGCTTGTGCTTGGTCTCTCTCATTCTTGAAAATAAATAATAAAACATTAGGAAAAAAAGTAACAGACTATTATCTACGAGGAAGGTGTGCCTAGTCTTACCACAGTGATTTGGTGCAAAACAGGTTATCTAGGGAATACTCATAATCAGTTTTAAAAGGTTTCTCTCTTTATATTTCATACATAATACAGGAGAAAATCAGAGCTCACTGTGTTGTAATCATTCGTAATCAATATCACTTATTTCTTATTATATATTCAAACTAAAAAGAGAGGGAGTAAAGAGTATGGCTCTTGACTCCCATATGCTGCCACCTTAAAAAGTCCATAAGTGTTGTAAGCTCACACACACTGACTTATCAGTCTTTGACAGACATCCTATGGGGTCAAGGGAATGGCATTAATAAGTTTCTAGCATTCTTTTCTTCCTCTATAAACTTCTTTCATAAAAAGTATCAATTACTACAAAAGCCTATTGCCTAACTATAGTGAAAGTCAAATGAGATCTGCAAAGTTACACAGATGACTTCTGTCCCTTTAAATTCCACCTTGGTCCACTTCAGGCAAAGATAGGGGTATACCCTGGCACACCAACCAAATGCCAGAAATGAGTGGAGGCAGAGATAGAAAGGAAACAGGTTGCCCTGCAGAGAGCTTACTTCTCTGTCCCATCCTCAGTAGCAAGAATTTATTGGATTCTGTTTAAACACACATCTACACACACACAAATATATTTTTTTATTCCCAGAAATTAAAAGTTCAATAGCCTCAATAAAGAGGCCAAAAAATGAATCATAAAATAAAGTTGAGAATGTCTCCTTGAAATTAGAAAAAAGGAAAACACTCAGATATTCTAATCCAACCAATTCATTTTATAGGTCAGGTTTCTGAAGCTGAGTAAGATTTTGTAATGTACCCAACACTATATTAAAGCATAACCAGATCCCAGGTTTTGGCCTTCATCACAGAGTCCTTTTCCCACAATATGCTCCTTTCCCTATTTTTTTAAAAGCTCTCATACTTATTCCATATCATTATTTACAGACAACAAATCTTTATGAATATCCTCTTTCTTCATAAAGAACTCTACTGTCATTATCTTCACTGAACAGTGAAGGTCAAGCCAAGTCATTGCTCTGTACACCTTAAACTTAGATAGTGTTGCTCTGTCCATTATATCTCAATGAAATTGGGGGGGGGGGAAGATGCAGAAACATGGAATAAATTAATGCTAATCCTGTATCTTACCGAAAAGAAAAGCTGGGGGTGGGGAGTGGGGTGTGAAGTGTCTAGCCTCAGCAAGATGAGGAAAATAAAAGAATTCATCTACACCTAAGTAGTCTAGGGGTATCTATAGACTGAGAAACATGAATCCTATAGAGAGGAAGTCAAAAGAAAATTCATTTCTCCTACAGATCCAGGATACTTTTGGGGTTCACCGGAGAAACAAAAACGTAGAAGCACAGACTTGACAGGAATTCTAGTCCTTTGTTTCAGCTGATAATTAGTATCTTCATCATAGTCGGAAATTACAGAAATACTTGCCCCACAGCTTGGAAAAAAATACCTCAGACATTATTTCAGAAAAGACTCAAGTGTTTCACATTTATCCAGATAATCAAAAGCTAAAAGCAAATAGAAGGGCAATGTTTGCAGGGAACGTGAGAACAGTTCAATATACCGAGGATTTACATCCAACTTTTTTTTTTCGTTTTTTACACATTCAGGTAATGTTTGTTGACTTTTGCTATTTGTTATATTGACAGTTGATATCTCCTTGCTGAGAAATCAATAGTGTGGCATAATGGGCCACACTCCAGTCATCTTGGGGCCAAAACTACTCATGTTTCAAATTCTGGTTCAACCACAACTACATGACACTGAGAAAATTACAAAATCTGAGGGTGGGGATGGGATTTTAAGTTTACGAAAGGATGACAGTTGTTTCTCAAGGACACGGTAAGGATTAAGTAACGGTATGGCAGAAACACTCAACCCTGGGCATAGCCCTGTGCTTGGATTACGGAAGACACCCTGGAGATGTCTGCCACCTTTGGGGAAGGAATATGAACTTGTCATTGACTGGAGTTTTTATGTTTATTTTTAAGAGAGAGAGAGAGAGCAGGGTAGGGGCAGAGAGGGAGACACACCATCCAAAGCAGGTGCCAGGCTGAGCTGTCGGCACAGAGCCTGATGTGGGGCTCTAACTCCCGAACCGTCATCATGACCAGAGCTGAAGGCAGATGCTTAGCCCATTGAACCACCCAGGTGCCCCAGTTTTCATTTTTAACCTCCCTGCTCTACCCTACCCAGACACACATGCACATATTACTGATCTGACAAAGAATTTCTTTTAGTATGACCCATGCTAGAGCAAACTTAATCTACACCATCTTTGTTGAGAGTTTGAATAATGGGTCCTAGCTTTAAGAGTCCTTGAACCTATTTATTTTATTTGTAGTCAAGTTTGCGATTCTAAGTATTCAAAGATTACCAGGCAACCTGGCAGCCTGAAGGCTGGCAGTGAGGCAAAGAGGAAGCAGGATGTCTGAAACCAGTTGCACCAGAATGCCTCCTGCAGATCTGCAAGGCCTGGAGCCTGGAGAGCAGCACAGTTCAGAACACAGACCCTAGACCCTAGGGAAAGTCTTTGGGTCTGTGTTCTGAACAGGCTTTCGTCCTGCCCACATTCTCTCCCATACCCCCAGCTTCTGGGAGTTGAGGAGCATCATTGTCAACAGCCTGCCTCTAAGACTGAGCAGGAGAGGTGTTTTTCCTTAGATCACTGAATTCAAAATGAAGCTCTATGCTGCTCATAAATTGACATCTGCCTTCTATAATGCTAGAACAATGAGGTAAAAAGACCCAAGTACCATCTGCTAATAGCCTCCAAATTTGCAGAGGTTACCAAAAGAATGAAGACTGATGAACTGTACAGCTTCAACATCTATTTACTCTGAGGATAATTTTTTTTCACCAACGTCTTCTTTTATATTCACCTAATGTATTTCATTTTGCTTTTCCGCTCTCCCACCTTCTGCAAAATTTCACTTTATGTTGCCACCAGTTTCTGCTATTACTACTGGAGGAAGGAAATGATAATGACCGTACCATAAAAGAATAATTAGGTACTGAAGTGTAAGAAATAATCAAAATTCTCACACTACAAAATTTTTTTCTGTTTAATCTACTTTTCCTTTTATTTTTTTTATTTTTAAAATGTTTTTATTTATATTTGAGAGAGAGACAGAAAGAGAAACAGAGAGCGAGTGGGGAAGGGGCAGAGAGAGTAGGAGGCAGAATCTGAAGCAGGCTCCAGGCTCTGAGCTGTCAGCACAGAGCCCAATGAAGGGCTAGAACTCATGAGCTTTCAGATCATGACTGAAGTCGGACGCCCAACCAATTGAGCCACCCAGCTGCCCCTCTCCTTTTAAAATCACCTCCATCTTCACTTTTTGTCCTCTGGTTCAAATTCTTACATTTAGAATCTGAAAACTGATTTTGCAGTTGAGCCTAAATTTTATCTCCTGACTTCCCAACTCAGAATCTCCTTCCTTTCTTACCACTTTTACCATTATTTCTTATGCCTCAATTTCTTTTTTTCTTGTTATTTGGTACTCCAGAACTTCAAAAAAAAAAAAAAAAGCACTTCATTTTGAAGTTCTTTAAGGGAAACTCCAAATAGCATATTGCTTTTTTTATTTTTAAATTATCTTATCTTAATGAGATGGATCTGTACACAAGGTGATACTGACCTTGTCTCCTTCCAGTTAAATAAATCAGGACACAGGAAGATTGGTACTGCCCACTTCAGTATCAAAGTTTGATCAACAGAAGTGAGGAAGAGAAGTTACATGGCGTGTGATAAAGAGTATCTGTTGGAAGCAAAAGACAATAATATGTGGGTGGCTAAACGTACTTACTTGGCACGGAGAATACGGTACCCCTGCCAAGCAGAGGTGGTGGATGTGCTGAAGCGCTTTAGCACATATAGTGTGAAATGCTTTGATGCTGGTCCCTTACAGGACAAGGTTCTGTCAAAAGGTAGAATGCTCACCTTAAACTAACCATGACCAGTTATGCACTTATAACAGGAATAAGTAAATTGCAAGGAACTCACAGGGAATGAATGGCACCAGGCAATTCTCTAAAGCAGGAGCACACTGTTTCTGCAGGAACATACATGTTCTATTTCAACAATGGAATGATGCCCAGCACTTTAAAGGAGCACAGATGAAGCGGTGATGCATTCTGCCTGGTGTAGCAGAAAGCAAGAGGAGTTTGCCATGAGGTAAAATACTAATGAGGATGGGGAATCCATAAAGAGAAGAAGTAGGAGCAAAGGTATGGAGATGTGATAAGCTCTCACTGTGCTTGCTCAAGGACATGTGGGATCAGGTCACAGGGACAGAAGCTTGTGAAGATAAGGCTAGAAAGGGAGACTGAGGCAGGCTGTGGAAGGCTTTAAGGACCACAGTAGAATTTCAACTTCACCCTTCAATGAGGAAGGGACAACAAAGCTTTTCAAACAGAGATGTCACAAGTCATATGAAAGCCCGAGACATGAAAATGACAGAGGAAATCATTCTTTCACTCATCCATTTGATCAAAAATAACCATTTGCATCAAATATACTAAATACTGGAATTCAGAATTAAACAGAAAACCACTCAAGGGGTGCCTGGGTGGCTCAGTTGGGTAAGCATCCAGCTCTTGGTTTTGGCTCACATCACGCTCTCATGGTTTGTGGGTTTGAGCCCCACATGGGGCTCTGAGATGACAGTGTAAAGCCTGCTTGGGATTGTCTCTCTCCCTCTCTCTGCCCCTCCCCCATGCTTTCTCTCTCTTTCAAACAAATAAATAAAACTTAAAAAAAAGAAAAAAACACTCAGGTATAGTTCCTGCTCTGAGAAAACTTACAAACTAGTTAGACTAATAGTCATTAAATAATTACAAAAACTTAAATACAACTGTGATATCTGATCGGAGAGCTATGAGGAATAGATGGTTGCTGGGAAAGAATGCCAAGGACAGACACACAGAAATTTCAAGAAAGGTGCACATATGACATTGCTTATCAATTGGAGGTGTAGGGAAGAGGAGAGGAAAGAAGGATACCAAGACTTCCAGCTTACACACTGGATGGATACTGGTACAGTTAGCCACAATGAAAACAAAACAAGGGAGGAAAAACCACTTGTGGCTGGGTCATTTTGGGTCAGAAAGAGCTTGAAGCACTATGTAACATCCAGGTAGAGTTGACCAGTAAGTTGTACCAGGACTGCAGCTCAGGGGAGAATGGAATTGAAGAGAGATCTGGGAAAAAATAAGTTCAAGAAAGAAAGGTAAGTAGAGTATTAATGGTAGTTTTGCGATCTTTTTCTTGTAATAATTTTCCCCAGTGAATGGAAAATAGTATTAAATGCTCCCTCTGAAATAGTAATGGAGGAAGAACGGTAACTTCAGATAGTCTATTCAAATCTAAGGCCATGCCAATGGCTCTGAAATGTAGTCCTCAGACCTGTAACATCAACATCACCTGGGAACTCATTTATGCAAAGTGTGAGGCCCCACTCGGATCCACTAAATCAGAAACTCTTGGAATGGACCCAGTGATCTGTTTGATAAAGCCTCCAGGCAATTCTGAGTCTTGCTGAAGTTTGAGAGACTTGCCAAACACACACAACACACACACCATCTCATTTTGGCTGTTGATTATGTTTAGCAGAAAAAGTCTCAAGGGTACTATTTCTGTTTGTCCACAGGGTTCTTTCATCCATTTTATTAAACATGTATTGAGTGTCTGTACTCTGCCTGATAGTATGTAATGTTGAAAGGGATGGAGGGCGCCTGGGTGGCTCAGTCGGCTGAGCGACTGAATTCAACTCAGGTCATGATCTTGCGTTGATGGGTGTTGGGCTCCCTGCTGTCAGTGCAGAGCCAGCTTTGGATCCTGTCTCCCTCTTTTGCCCTGCCCTACTCCTGCTTTGTCTCAAGTAAATAAATAAACAAGTAAACATTTAAACTTAAAAAAAAAAAGTGTTGGAGAATAAGGTACACAATATTGTTCCTGACAACCATAAACTTTCATCTTGTTAGGAAATCAGTGTATACATGTATACATGAACTTTTCCTAGGAAAAGTTAAACAAGTACCCAAGTGTTACAGTTTAACGGAAGTTAGAGAGTAGAATTCAAGGCCAAGTGCGATGCCCTGAAGAAACACCTGAAAGCAGACACTTGGACCTATGATAATCAAACTGGAAAGGAAGAAAGTTTGAAACTTCATATGAACTTTCAATAAGGTACAGCCTCTAATTTGTTGTTGTTGTTTTATTTACTTTTAGGGAGAATGCCTGAGCAACGGGGGGGGGGGGGGAGAGGGGGGCGGAGAGTGAGAATTTCAAGCAAGCTCTGATTTGTCAGCACAGATCCCAAGGGGAGGGGAGGGGAGGGGAGGCAGGATCCTGAGATCATGACCTGAGTTAAAATCAAGAGACAAGAGTTAAGAGGCTTAACTGAGCCACCCAGGGACCTCACAAAACCTCTAATTTATAACTGCCACCTAAGAAGAGGTTTGCCAGGGTTCAGAAGTGGGTTAATGCTATACCAAAGTATGGAAAGTGAGTAAATTACACTCAAGCAAATAAGTAACTGCCAAAAGAGGGAATGTTTTTAACCTCGAGGCAAGGGTATCACAATGTCCCGGTATGTATTAGTTAAAACACCTGCAGCAATGTGACTGAAGGTCAGTCAAGTGGCCTTTTAATAATGCTTTATATACCCAAAGCTATCTGCAATGATCAAAAAGCTTCCTAAGAGACATTTATGAGTAAAATGTTCCAGTTCTAAATCACCCCTAGCATTTACCTAAGAGCCTTGGTGGCCCCTCTGCCTTCAGTGTGGTCAAGAGACTGGATGCGGGAAACAGCAATGCGATGGGGCAGTACCGTGTGCAAGGTATGCTTTCAAGCTCAAAACTATCATTTAATATGCTACTAAGTTAAAAACTAAAGCGGGGAGGGGGCACTTTTGTTGTTCTCTTGCAAGGAAGAGGTCTCCCCGGTTACGATGGTAGCGGAGGTGAGCTACACTCCAGGACCCAGCGTTTGGGCCAGCACTGGAGGACTGGGGACAGGGACGCCACCTGAGCGTGCGCTACATTTAGGGACAGAGCAAGGCAAACACACCTATCAACCAACAATCGCCGTGAAGAGTGTCTCAGGACACCACTTATTGGAGAATTGGCCGTAAGGGCGGAACAATGTTTTGTAAGCGTTTGAAAACGGAAATCCTCCAACCCGGATGCCTGCGCCCCCAGATCGCGCGCGAGCCACGGTCGGCCGTAGCCGACAAGCTTCCCGGTTAGACAGGGGAGATGCCCAGGCGTACGCTCCAGTCCGGGTTCCCTTTCCCACCGCCGCGGTGCGGCGCCGCCAAAAAAGGAAAGACAGGGAGGGGACGGCGTTCCAGCTACGAGGCGCCCGGCATCCGCCCCCTCCGCGGCCGACTCGTGCCGATCCGCGGCTCACCAGCCCGGGCTTCTGGGCCTCTAGAGGCACCCGTGCCCTGAAATCCCCGGTGCGAGGTGCAAACCTGCCCCCTGCTGCCGTCACCCCTAGCCGTCCCCAGACCCGCGCGCCCTCCCGATGCCCCCTTGAGGACGCGACCGTGCCCTGAAGGACGTCTCGCCGCTGCCAGACGCCGTCCCACCCGCGTTCAGCCTCGCCGCGCGCTCCTACGCCTGGTCTCGCCCGGCTCGGGGACGAGGCTGCGGAACCGCGCAAAGGCAGCTACCCGAAGGGGGAGCGGGGCAAGGCGGGCGTCCGCGCGTCCCGCTCGCCGGGACACGGCGCCAAGGATGCTAACTTCTAGGCTGGACGGGGCGGGTGCGGGCGGGGAGAGGACGCGGGCGCCGCGCGGGGGTCCGCCTGCGTTCTGCCCGAGCGTGGCCTTCTTCGCTGGCACTTTACCTTGGACCAGACGCCGCCGGGGCGGCAGGCGGAGGCGCAGAGCTGGGGCCAGGCGGAGAGCAGTTTGAGAGCCGCCATGTTCGGGTTGTGCTGGGAGGAGACGGCGGGCTGCAGCGCGCGCGTGAACGTGCCGAACCGCCGCCGCACCGCCGCCGTGTCCGCGCGAAGGGAGCGAGAGGCCGGCGCGCGAGGGGCGGGCTGGAGGCTCGACCGCGCGTCGCTGACGTCCTCCGGCCTCCCGCGCCCACTGAGGCTGCAGGTTTATAGGGACGCAAGGCTGGGAGGAGCCGGGCGGGGAGCGTAAGACCGCGCTGCCGGGGCGGGTCGCGGGGGGGGGAAGCGCTCCAGCCCTGCGGCGGCGCGGGTTCCAGGTAGCTGTGTCCTGGGCACGCACTTGTCGCGGCAGCCCCTTGTCGGTGCATTAGCTTTGAGGGGGCGTGGGAGTCGGCCTTCCCCAAAGTCTGCGGTAATTGTTGGCCTAGCATTGGGGCAGCGCAGGGTCTCTCTGAGTCTGTCGCTTTTCCAAGTCAGTGTCTGGCACGCGTGTGGGCGGCAAAGGGATACCCCTTCGAGGTCCCCTACAACTCTTACCCATTCTGGACAGCGTTCCCATTTCTTCCATTCATCAGCCTCCTCTCGCCACACTTGGCACTGACTTGAGTAGAGCAAGTTTGCATAAGAATCTGCCACAAGCCATCTGCCATGAGATGTGACCAGGAAGACCTGGTCAAGATTGGCCGGGAACAAGAGACAGGGTTAGGACTGGGACACTGGTACCTCTTCCTTCTTTCCCTTCTTCTCCCATCAACCAAGTTTGTATTTGTCAAGATCTTTCTGGCACTGGAGTCCCAGAAACTCCAGAGATTATTCAGCAGATGCAAACATTCAGGTGTATATCCCTTCAGCTTTCCTTAGACAAGTTACATAACTTATCTAGGCTTAAGCGTCCATATCTGAAAATCTTAAATGTTAGAATTGTCATAAGGTTTACATGAGGTAAGTCATTCAAAGCTCCTGGCCCCATTATAAACACGGAACAATTAAATGTTAGGCATTTTTCAAGTTGCAGTTGTGGATTGATATGGTACATACATTCTCTCAAAGCCTTATCTTTTGATCAACCCCTTGAGGGCATGAGCCACGTCTGAGTTCTTCAGAACCATCTATGCACTTAGCAGACTGGAAGGACCAAGTGGAAACTCAGTAAAGGTTTTATTTAAGTGCTGACCAAATCCTGGGATTATGGCTGTTAGTCTTGAACCAAAGCAAAGCACACAAGGAAATTAAAGGAGACCTTAGCTTCCTTAATGAGTACACTTAATGCGATCAACAATCCAGTTTCAAGTCTCTCCATAAAAGCATTTGCCCTTTCCTGGTATTCTTTTAACTTTTTTCCTCATGAATATTATTATTTTAATCAAAATCAATGAGAGGACAGGATAACAAGTTAGACTATCCAATTACATTAGGAGAAATTAATAATGCTCTGTTTTCAGCACATCTTTAGAAGTTGGATAGAAGGGAAATTCAGGTATTAGAACTTAAATCTCATTACCAGTCCTAATGCAGCATATAGCAGCTGTTCTGTAGCTTACTGAATGTGGAAAGGCTAACATTCACAATTGGGTCTGCTTTTCCACTTTTGCCCTTCTAGAGGACGTATGAAATGGAAAACAGCTTTGGCAACTTTGTCTAACTGTGGTCATATGACTCACTCTTCTTGGCTGGTCTGATTCTGTTGCTCCTGACTGAAGAGAAGACACCCATTTCAGGCTTGTATTCCATGTGACTCTAATTCTTGTGGGGAAAAAAAAATCAGCCTCATTGCTCTATGGTCAAGACACTGTCCTATTTTTGTATAGCTCTATGGCTGTGTTTTATACTTTTTAAAAGACGTGTTTCTTGAACTTGAACAAATTATAGACAAGTTCTTCTATACAGATTTCCCTCCTCGTTCCAAAGCCGTTTCAAGTTTAGTCTGTGTAAAACCAATTTTTTTTAATATCTGAATTTTTCTGAACATGAGAATAGTTCCCCCCTTGCTTTGAAGCACAGTTTGTGGCAAATATATTCTGGAAACTTCTTTGTGTAATATTATACAGCTTAATTTATACATTCTTAAATATTGAGACTTTTTTAATGTTTATTTTTGAGAGTGAGAGCTTGTACACACAGTGGGGAGGGGCAGAGAGAGTGAGACAGAGAATTGGAGGCAGGCTCTATGCTGTTAGCATAGTGCTGGACACGGGGCTCAAACTCACATAACTGGGAGACCACGACCTGAGCTGAAGTCTGACATTTAATCAGCTGAGCCACTCAGGTGCCCCAGAAGTTGAGAGAATTGAATCAAATTCAAAGCTTTTAAACAAAAGGTCTGAATCCAGAGGCAATAGGAAAGTTTCTTTTGTATTATGTTATTTTATGTATGTGTGCATATATATGTAGATATGTATGTCACATGTTATGTTGTATATATGCATACATACATTCATTTGTGTGTATATCTACATACATACATATATATGTATATATATACTGCATATCCCTTTTCTATCAAATGAATGCAGACAATTTGTCAAAGTTAGATTGTAAATTTTATAAATTATCATTTTCTGCTTGAGGGATTTTTAAAATATTTTTTGTTTGTTTATTTAATTTGATAGAGAGAGAGAAGCAGGCTGTGTGCCCTCAGTCCAGAGCCCAATGCGGGACTGGATCCCACAAACTGTGAGATCATGACCTGAGTCAAAATCAAGAATTGGATGCTTAACCAATGAACCACCCAGGCATCCCTGTTTGAGAGATTTTTCTTTAAATTATCCTAAAATACTATTTATTAGCATCATCTTTCATTGCTGAGATAAAGGATATCCTGCCCTCACAGCTGACAGAGTATTTATTTACTCCTCCAAGTTGATAAACAGGGGCATCTGAGAACTTGTTTTTCAAAGGTTGTTTGACGGGTTTCACTAGTAATTGTTTTTAACTAGATCATTTGAGTCAATAAAAAAGATATGCATACTTCATTTTATACAGTGGTTTGTTACAATATGAGAAACAAATTCCTTCAGGTATTTTCCTCTAATGTATTTGAAAGACATAAATTTGAAATTTTACATAATCTGTAAAGGTTTTATAATACAAATCGTCATCTCCTAATTACTTCTTTTATGTTTTATTTTCATAGATTCTTGGCAACAGTGCCTTGTATTAACTAATAACATTAGTTTTCACAATAACATTAATATTCGTTCAATGGGTAAAAAATGAATTAAATTTTACTAAGTGTAGAGTGGGGGAAAGTAAAATAAATGCACAGGATGGTTGGAGAAAGTTCAACTCCAGGAATGAAAATGAAAATTCGGTTCAGGTGCCAAAGAAATTTAAAGGAGCAAAACACACCACGGTGATTTTTCTATCATTTCAAGCCTGATTGTGTTAACTTCTGCTTAAAACCTCTCAGTGGTGTGGGTGCACAGTGGCTCAGTCTGTTAAACAGTCAGCTCTTAGTTTCAGCCCAGGTCATGGTTTCAGCCCAGGTCATGGTTTCAGCTCAGGTCATGATCTCACGGTTCATTGATTTGAGTCCCACATCAGGCTCTGCACTGGCAGTACGTAGCCTGCTTGGATTCTCTCTCTGCTCCTCCCACTCTCTCTTTGTCAAAATAAACAAAAAACCTCTCCATGGTTTTCCCCATTGCCTTTAAGATGTAAAGTTCAACCTTCTTAACCTGGTATACAAGGGGGATCATCTCTTCTGGTTTTCCTTTTCCCAGCACAATACCTTTATATTTCAGGGCATTTGGTATTTGATTTGTCTCTTGACTTCCAGTGAATTCACACAATCTCAGAATCAAATGTTGATAGTAAATGGTAAAGAACATGGACCCTGTATGTAGCTAAACCACCTGGGTTCAGATCTCAGCTCTGCTATTCTTTAACCACGGAGTCTCCTGTGGTTAATAGTTTTAAAAAAGCCACAAAATGGCAAGATGTAATATCGTGTCCAGACCAGTATCTTTGTGGTTTGCAGGTGTTAGAGGATTATACCCTGTGATGCTTTCTGTATTTTCATAAACTGGAATACATCAGGCAGGATTCAAACTCTGGACTACATGGCAGTAAAGACTGCTTTTATTTTTTCTTTTCTTTTCTTTTTTTTTTTTACATTAATTTATTTTTGAGAGACAGAGCACAAGTGAGGAAGGGGCAGAGAGAATGAGACACAGAATACAAAGTAGGCTCCAGGCTCCAAGCTGTCAGCACAGAGTCTGATGCGGGGCTCGAACTCACACCATGAGATCATGACCTGATCCAAAGTTGGATGCTTAACCAACTGAGCCGCCCAGGCATCCCGAAGACTGCTTTTATCTTTATGCTCCCTCTTTAAGAAGCTATCTTTGACTCTAACACCCAAGCTTCACTCATTCTGCCTAAGTGCAGGACTTTAGTGTCCATTTCTCTCATCTGTTTGATTGGAGTTGCTTCCTAAATGAATTTCATTTCTCTCTCAGAGTTCACCACCTCTTACATGATTATGTCAAATACACATCTTGTCTTCTTACAAGCTTTCCTAAACTTTTCAAGAATCCTCATAGACTGCAGGTTCAAGTTCAAGTTATTATAGCCACGATCTCTGTAATTGAGACTCGGCAAACTGTATAACCTTAATGGATTCACAGAAGTACTTCAGAGGTTTCACAAACATTATATACTTTTTAAAGTTTATTTATTTTTGAGAGAGAGAGAGAGAGAGAGAGTGTGTGTGTGTGTGTGTGTGTGTGTGTATGTGTGAGTGGGGTGGGGCAGAGAGAGAGAGAGGCTACAGGCTTTGAGCCATTAGCAGGGAGCTGGATGCAGGTCTCACACCCACAAATTGAGAGATCATGGCATGAGCCAAAACTGGACACTTAACTGACTGAGCCACCCAGGTTCCCCTGTAATCATTATATTTTGACAATAAATCTTAAATTATGGTTGAGCTACTCTATCAATTCTAACAAAGCAGTTGCATGTACACATAATTGTGATGTATCTCTGATTTTAACATAATGAAGGTTACCAAATTGTTCAATTGGGAATAATGTTTCTTTCTCTTCTCAATGCCTGTGTTTCAACTTACAAAATAAGTCAGTGATTAAGAAGGTTGAGGGGGTGTCTGGGTGGCTCAGTTGGTTAGGCAGCAGGCTTTGATTTCCAGCTCAGGTCTTGATGTCAAGGGGTCTTGAGATCAAGCC